TTTTATGAAATAATTTAACTTTCCTTTTTAATACACATATTATTACACATCATTGTAACTTTGAATTTTACATGAAAAGTGAATATATAAAATATGTTACTAAACAATTATATTTTCATTTAAAAAGAATTTTCAAAAAAAAAAAGAATGTCTACTCTCAAGATATTTGTAAACTGACACCATATATATAATACTATTGAAGTTTGATGTACATAATTTAAATCTAAAATGAATGTTTATTATTCAAATTTATATTATTTTCATAACACCATTTTTTTATAGATTGATTTCAACACAATCTACAAAAAAAACATGCACTTAATTACACTTGCAAATAAATGAAAACAATTGTATATAGTGGGGGGAATGTATAATATAGTACTTGGGAAATATTGTACATTGTGAGGTGGAATAAACGAAAATGAGAAGTCAGTAGTTTTTAAACATTCAAGGTTGCTTGTTGCAAAACTATCAAGGTAAATTAAAAACAAAAAATTGTATATAATCACGAAAAAACCTTCAGTTTTAAATATTTGAAGAATGTATTGTTGCTCATAGATATATAGTGTATATATAATATAACTCTAAAAAAGATTCTACAAATGCTAAAACTAGAAGTCATTAATTTAACACATGTAATGTTTTTTTTTATATATAAAACGTACAATTTGGACCAAAGGGCTAAGTCTTTCTGCCTTCTTTTTTTAAATATTTATTTTCAAATTAAATATACAAACGAGTGACGAGGAGAATGCAAGTCTCGTATTGTGCGTCTGCTTCATCATTTTCCATACTTGTATACAGACATATGTGTGATTTTTTTTTGGAAAAATGTCCTAGAAGAAAAAGCCACAGAAAACTGTTAAAGATACGAAGAGATTTAATTCGGCATTATCATATTTTACATTAATTTATATGTGAAAAATTGTTTCGCTTAACGAGTGATTCGTGTTACGAGTAAGATTCTATGCTAGTTGTGCGAGGTATTCAACAAAATTAATATACATTATTTTTGTCAGTCACAACTATTTTTTAGTTATTTTTTTTTGTTGAATTAACTTTATCAAATATAAAAAAAACTTACTCGTGTAATTATTTGTATAGATATTATCGAAGTAGCATTATAACGGTATATTTACGTTGCATTTGAATTTAATCGTGATTCCAAAAACTATAGATATAGATTATTTTTTAGGATTAATTTATTAATATTATTAATTCAATAGAATATTCGATTTTTATAAACTCTCATCGTATTATTTATTAACTTGATCAATTTATTTATGAAGGTTTTTAATTTTATATATGTTAAATTCCGTATTACTGACTGCATAAATTTGAAAAAAAAAATAGATTAAAATAAACAAAATAATTACTTACAAATACTTTTCAATATAGACATCACAATTATTTAATAAAAAATGACAAAAGAAACAAATGCAATAAAATAGATAGCACATTTTCAAAAAATATTATATTTTATTAAAGAAATTATCAATTTGTGTTTGGACAGTTATTTTTTTCTCACTTTACATCTCCTTGTAACAAGTTAGAGCTTTTAGATTTTTGTTCGTAATTCCGGGAGTTCTTAAGGACCAAAGTTTTTCCATTAATAAATAAATAAATTCATTAACCTAAATCGAAACAAAAGAGTATAAAATTATTTAGAACATGAATTTATTATTCTATCTATTTTCCATATGATGAATGATGACAATTAAGAGTGATTGTTTTTTTTTGTACCATTGTTACAAAAAAAACAATGGAATAATAATTAGTGTAATGACGGTAACCAGAAGATCGAAAATTTCGATTTATTTCCACAAAATTAATTTATATACAGCAATACCTCTCATAGTGCGGTTTTGATCAGTGCGGATTTACTAAAATAAGGATTGAAAATTTCAAAACAAATAAAATCGTTGTTTTCTTTTCTACTCAGTTAAGTCTATTTTTGTGCTGTTTATTTGTATATGGTTTCAATCATTGGCGGAACCGATTAAGCGCACTATCCTAGGTCAATACCTAGTCGCGTTCTAGTCGCAAGCTTCATATTTTCTGAAAAACGAAGCAGGTGTTTATTGAGCGTGCGTGCAGGTGCAACTGCAAAGGAAATTGATCTCAGACAAACCGAAGATCGATTTTCATGAACACAAACAAGTAAAATAGACTTTATGGTAATCATAATAGTAATTTAAAGAAGCAAGGTAACATTAATTGGAATACTTCCTGTAATATTAATATATAAATAGAATGAATTTGGGAAAGTATGTTTTGTAAAAAGTGAGAGGTTCATTAAGTAACGGTTTTAATATAATACATTTCTTTGAACTTTCATATTCACGTATTTCACTTTATTCTACAAAATAAACAAGAAAATTTCAGAATTTTCAAAGTGTTCCGTTGCAGGAAAAGTTTTGGAAATTCTTAACTAAACAACTGGGCTACGGTCAAAGTGGGCAACTGCCAAACGGGAGATGGTCAAGTAGATACTAAAAAAAAATAGAAACTCGCTAAGAATATTAATAATAATTATTTATAGGTCAAAAGATTTAACAAAATAAATATAAATTATAAAATGTAGCTAAAACAACATTTCTAAATAAATTAATTAAACAATCACTTGGCCAAAGGGATATAATAACAATACGATATTTAAATTAAAAACAAATTTATATATTATTAATTACACACCATTTTGATCTATACAACGTCCTTCATCTTTCACGGAACTTAAACATTCCATCCTCCCAGAAGAAGGTTTTTTGTCAAAAAACTTTTCGACTCATGTCGATTTAATATTAAACATTCTTGCAATTAATGAATAAATGGAAATCGGGAGATGCATTCTGTAAATACTACGAATTGTGTAATACAGTGTTTTCCAAAATAGGAGGCGCGGACTAGTCTAAGGGAAGGCGCGAATATTAGTCACAGTGAAAGTTTTATCTATTTTATGAAATGTAGAGGGGCAGGGGAGGCGCCAAATGATTAAATATTTTTAAAGAGGGCGTAGTAACATCAAGTATGGAAACCATATACAACTGAGGTATTATAGGTTATTCTGTATCAATGTCTTGATTTCATCATTATTACTAGCAGTCTAAAATCACCAGCTCATATAAAAAATAACTTTGGCATAGTTTATTCAGATAAAGCAACTTCCCGTCAGAAGAATATTATATTTCTTAGTTATTCCTTTAGTGGTTTTTCTAGTTTTTCAGTAATAGAAAAGTATCAAAGCCTAAAATGGACTTTATTTACTTCCATCTTCAATAGAGCACTAAACTAACACAAATCATTTGATACGATCCAAACTTTTTTCTAAAGACGATTGAAATGTCACCTTTCAGAATATGCACACAAGTTAATTGTTTTTAATAATCCTGATATATTTACCGAAAATTGGCACGCACTTTCCGGAAAACTCAATATTTGACTTTTGCATATTTCTTCATCGTAATATGTTTGTGTATATAATTACTCAGTACTGATTATACTTGACCTCATACTTATCAAGGATTTGGTGAATTGCAATTTTTTTATTATTACCTATTATGACCTAAGCACAAAACCAAAATCAAGAGGCTGCATAAAATATTTATAACCCTTATAGTATATTCAACATCAACTCTAATAATGTAAACTGCAATATACAAATAAGGGAAGATTTAAATAATAATTTGCACACGCTCCGCCTTTATTCGTTCAAGTCCATAATTATATTGATAATTATAGTTAGTTTTAATCGCAATGTTATTTGTTCAATTCGTAAACTATGTTACTAAACTGGACAAATATGCATTGAGTCAGTTTAATCATTGGAAATAATTAAATAACAATACAAGGTATTGCCAAATATTTTATTTATTTCTTATATAGAACTGATGTTTCGTCAAAAGTGTATAATTATAAAACTTATCAAATAATTATAGAGCATAGTGCGTGTTCACTCCAATATTCCGCAATGTTTGAAACCGGTCCAATCGAGAACTTTAAAACCACGTACAAATAAACAGCACAATAAGAGACTTGACTTTATAGAGGAAATAAACATACGTATGTACAAAAAATATTTTTTTTTTAGAATTTACTTTTATTGTTCTTAATTAAAATTTAGTTTGTTTTTAAAATTTCAAATCATAGTATTGTCAGCGTTTCCCAAACTATGTTCCGCGGAAAGTTAATAGGTGTTTCGTGAAAACCAGGAATACAATATTTACTAAGTAAATAATGAATGTTTTTCCTTTGATTTTTGTGGGGGTGAGGGGTAATTATAGGTTAATAGTATTTATTTTAGTTTTATTTAACACGAATGGTTGAAGCCCAAAATAATCCTATAAATTACTAATTGTTATGAATTTATTGCAATATTTTTTGTACATTATGTTTTTTTTCATTTTGTTGTCATATTAGATGGAGAGTTTTAATAAATATTCTTGTTTGTAGATTTCATCATGTCTTCTCATGTGCTTTTCGAGACTGTCAACAACAACGGACTAATCACGTTGAACAGAGAGTCTTCCCTGAATGGCCTTTGCATCTCAATGATGGAAAGCCTAGTAGACACTTTACTGCAATGGATAAATGAAAATCGAAACCTCGTCGTCATCAAGAGCAACAGCAAAAAGGCTTTCTGCGCTGGAGGTGATGTTAATGACATGATAAGGGAAGGCGAGCGTTCTTTCCGCGTCGGATACCAATTGATTGGCATCATAGGCACCTATAAAATACCTTACATATCCCTCATCGACGGCATCGTAATGGGAGGTGGCGTTGGAATATCCATAAATGGTCGGTATCGCGTATGCACCGAGAGAACCGTATTTGCGATGCCGGAAACGACCATAGGCTTCTTTCCAGACGTCGCAGCTTCCTTTTTCTTACCAAGATTAGAAGGTAAACTGGGTTATTTTCTCAGTTTAACTGCGACCAGGCTCAAAGGTAAAGACGTTTTCAAAGCGGGAATAGCGACGCATTACGTCGAAAGCAAAAACATGGGAGCCTTGGAGGAAGCCTTGTTAGCATGCTCCGGAACACTGCAAATCGAGGAAATACTTAAACGGTTCTCGATCGTAGACGAAGATGAATTATCACTGAGACCCGTCATGCCGAAAATAAATCACTGTTTCAGCGGAAAAACTATAGAAGAAATCGTGGAGAATTTAAGGACTGACGGATCAGAATGGGCTTCGGACACCTTAAAGAAAATGTTAGCACTGCCACCGACCAGTCTAAAGGTAACATTGCGCTCATTGAATCTGGGCAGTAATATGAACATTTTGGACTGCCTAAAAATGGAATTTCGTTTGGCCATAAATTTCTTAAAAAGTAGCGATATGCACCATGGCGTAAACGCTTTTCTTAATAAAACTAAGAGACCCAAATGGAATCCGTCAACTATCCAAGAAGTCAGCGATGAATACGTGTTGAGCTTCTTCGAAACGCCGACGAATATGAAAGAACTTTGTCACAAATTATAACATACATTCACTATTTATACGTGAGACTTATTGACTAACATTGATTGCAAATTAAAAATTAAATTCTTAATGTACTTTGTAAATATTTGACTTCTAAATGACTTCATTTGAACGAAACCTTGATAATATGGTACATGCCACCAATATCTCAGACTGTCTAAAACCGGAGTAATGAATGAACTATATATATACAAAACATAAAATGCACAAAAAGAAACATAACTGTATAAATTTAAAAAAAAAAACAGAAAAAAAAATTGTATTTTAGAATTTATTTTTAATTGCTCAATTAAAAAGATAAATAAGTGAATTGTTTCAATGAAAAATCACTTTTTCTGCTAATTCTATGGTATTGTTTTCATGCCACAGTTCTTTGACATATGCTTCGAATCTATACAATCTTAATAATTATATAATATTAAAGATTTGCTTTATGTTAAATAGTCATATACAATATAAAGATTTATTAATATGAAAATATATGTTCATTTTAATTAATCCAATTAAACAGACATATATTAAATATAATGGAAAGGAGACAAGCACGAGACAAAATACTACTTGTTTTTATTAAACAAAAAATATATTTTGTAAAACTACAATTATTGGGCTAGTTATTGAAATATAGATGAAACTTCAGCCCCTATGACCTCTACAGACGAGCCACAACTGATTAAATGTTAATATACTTTCATGCTGGTAGATTCAAATGTTTTAACCATTAAGATTGAAAATATATACAATATAAATAAATTGATTGCTGCCAATATCTAATTTGTCGCCCTGTCTCAAGAAATCAAAAGGGCCGAATATTTAATTTGCGCTCCCTTTATCTGAAGAAAACAATACTATTACTTACGCCATTGGCGCCCCTATGATTGACGGGTATGTAGCTGTGGCGTCCTCCGCATCCCCCTTGTTGCGGCGCTTGTGATAACATAGTAGAAAATATAGTTGATAATGAGTGACTAACACACATAATTAAAACCAAATTAGTCACACACAACCATTATAACAACCCTCCAGAATACAAAGAACAGGATACAGTTATTTCGAACATATTGCAAACATATTTTAATTTCCTAATTGGAGACGTGTCTGTGCTATTATTCAAATGACTTTGTGTTATGTTTGCAGCCCTATTTCGAAAAACTTTTTAATCCCATGAGTCAAATTCTTGCAAATATGTAAATTTATCAACATATATACTTTAAAGCACACACATGTTTTTACGGTATATTTCATTCATTTCTATTATTTTAAAACTTATATATAATTAGATTCTATAAAGCAACATACTTACAATCAAATTATTAATATGCAAACATACTTTTCGTATTTATTTTCTTTAAAAAAATATATTTCACGAATATTAGAAATTGAATAACTTGTGTGATGAAAGAGTGAATTAAAACTCCATCAGTTACTTATTATGTATATATATATTTAATAAGGCAGTATATTAATTAAACATGTTAGTTTTATTTGATATAATAAATAAGAATCTGTACAAACGATGAATTAGGAAAAGTTATATAAGGCGTGACTGTAGGTTTGCCAGGATTATTCGTAAATTAGATTGTCCTGCCTTTGGGATCTTCGAAGGCTGTTAAATTTAGTAAAAGGGTTTCCTTTGAGGAACAATTCCGTATTATTGTTTCGGTGATGCGGGATAGCCGACACAGACCTATTATCTTGAGCGGTAGTAATTCCGTTCTCTATGGGTGGCAGAATAATGAAATCTGAACCGATATCATCTGGCCGTTCAGTAGGACTGGAATGGTAAGAGGAACGTTTCCGACGTGTAGGTTTCTTCACAGGAGATGGTATATTAGGAAGCGATTTGAAGTTGGACTCTGAGAGCCATGTCTCAGTTCGCGATGTGGAGGACTCTATCTTCGGCATCACCGGCGAGATTTGTAAAAAACTATCGAACTTTATGTTGAGCGTCCTCGGATTTAATGTGTTGTTGATGGACTGCCTGGAGGAGATCGAGCTCGAGTTCTTAGTCGGGTACAGCTCACCCAGCAGCTTGTCTATCACAGAAGATGTTGAGGAGATGTTCGATGATACTGCGGAGGTAGTTTTATCACAGATTCTATTGGTGTTGAGTTCGCGCGGCGAGATCAGCAGCTTTGTCTTGTACGCAATCTCCGATGGTGACTGACCGGTCAAACTGCAAGAAAATTAACAGTATTTACTTTAATTATTTAAATACAACGTATAAGTGCACACTTTAAACAAGGAAACGTTTTGATCCACAACTTGTACTCATCTCTGTCGTAATGCGGAGGAATCGGCTCCAAGCACTGTAAGATCCTCTCCATTCTTTCGTACTCCTTCTTGACGATCTCGGTGGCCTGCTGCTCGTAATCCTCGGCCCAACTAATCGAACTGTTGGAGCTCTTATCGAAACTGTTCCTGCTGTCCCCGAAATCGTCCAGAATTTCAGCGTCCGAACTATCAAAGGAGGATAAACTCGAGACATGATACCAATCCTTCCTTCTCGTCTCCAACGCATCCTCTCGATTGTCCTCAACAGACGGCACGTGGAATTTACTTCTTATATTTCTGTTGCGGAACTTTGCCATTGTTGTTTACCTGCCGATGTATTCAAAAATAATAATAAAACAGCCATCAAGTGTTTACATTGTGCAGGCGGAACATATCGATCTGCGCTTTAGTACCTAATGGAAATAATCAATACACTTGCGGCCCAACATTTCCACCAACATATTACAATATTACTTTCACATAACTCTGCACAAATTTAAAAAGCGCATTTTTCAATCGCACAAAATTAAAATAACATTGACAGCACGCAATAACATTAATTTAAATAATAATTACCATCAAGGTCAATTAATCACACAAGTTTTAAATAATAATTTAAATAAACCTGATTAAAATTGCAACCTCACGATGGTTTGGTAATCTGAATAATATAAATAATTTATAATTATTATTTAATATTTTTAAACTGGTGTTTACATTTGGAATTATTTGAATTTTGAATTTTTCGCTCGCTTACATATTTTGACTAGCTCAGTTCCGGCCACGCAAGTAGCGAAAGTTTTCGGCGATTTTAAGGCTGCAGATAAATTAATTTGACAAACAAAATTAAAAAACTTGTTTTATTTGATCGCATTATTCTTATATTTGCAGTTTGAAGTTGTAATGTTAAGATTTTTGTATAGAAATTGTTGATTTAAGTTAAATTAAATTTTCTTTGATTGGTAGCAGTGGTTGTCAATGTTGAATTACGCACCGGAAGTGTCACATCACCCTTTAAAGTGCCAACAACAGTTCTTCGAGTGCTGTCTGGCCTTACGATAGTCATTTAGGGCCAAATTTAGTTAATATTCAGTTTATAAGTTAAATTAATATTTATATAATAAATAGTGTAAATAGGAAGTCTAGTTGGATTCCATACACGTAAGTTAATATTAGATTTACGTGATTCGGCTAGAGAAAACAATTTTAAGGCAGACGAAACGTCAAATAATAACTGTCATGTTATTCAGTGGCTCTGTTTCTTGTCCCATTAAATCCCATTGTCTCCTGAATAGATATACAATCAGCTGAGTCACATAAATCAGCTCCAAATTCCAAGGTTGCATTCATTCAAGTTTTTCCTCTTGTTACAGAAAGATGTTTATTTGGGACTGGTTTACGGGGGTCTTAGGATATTTAGGTGAGTCTCAGCAAATCCCAGATAATTGGCACCAAAAACACTACAATCAATGTTATTTTTAAATGCTCAAGTTCATGTTGTATGGTTTGGAGATGTATTTAAAGAAATTATGTTTTTGAGGTTTAAAGAGAAAAGGAAGGTATGCATATGTTGGTCTGCCGAACTCCGGAAAGGCTTCACTCATTGCTGCCCTCTATGAAGAGGGAATAATTGATTCAAATTACCCTCTGAAAAATAAGCAACTTGGTGAGTCCCATTGAATAATGCATGTTGTGTGTTAACAGGCTTGTGGAAGAAGTCCGGTAAGCTGCTCTTCCTAGGGCTGGATAATGCTGGAAAAACTACTCTGCTTCACATGCTCAAGGATGATAGGCTCGCACAGCACGTACCTACATTACATCCCAGTAAGCATATCTCTTTCATTACATTTTAATATTAATTTTCAATGCATATTAATTTGTAATTAATCAGTTAATAGTATTAATCATTCAAGTTATATTGTTAATAATTTTTTCCGTAATTTTTAGCATCTGAAGAACTGTCTATAGGAAACATGAGATTCACAACATTCGATTTGGGAGGCCACACACAAGGTACGTTATTTGTTGGGTTAATTATTTGTTGAATATAGTTAAACGAATTTTCCATTTGCAGCCAGGAGAGTCTGGAAGGATTATTTCCCAGCGGTGGACGCTATTGTGTTTTTGGTTGATGCTTATGATCGTGCCAGATTCGTGGAGAGTAAAAACGAGTTGGATTCCTTGCTCACAGATGAGACCCTTTCCAACTGTCCGGTTTTAATTCTCGGTAACAAAATTGATATGCCCGGTGCAGCTTCCGAGGATGAACTCCGGAATTTCTATTCCCTCTTCGGAGTCACCACTGGAAAGGTATTCTTATTAATTTACATTTTGTTATAGCGTTTATTAACTATTTTTTTCTTCTAACTTTCTCAGGGTAAAGTTTCGAGGTCGGATTTGCCTGGCCGTCCATTAGAATTGTTTATGTGTTCCGTACTTAAAAGGCAAGGGTATGGTGAGGGTTTCCGTTGGCTTGCACAGTACATTGACTGAATACTCTTTGATTAAAGATAAGGCCAGACGTAAATAATAGGACGTTATACAAAAAAAAATATCTGTGGTGTTGTGCATTCTAACTGTGTTACCATAAAACCTTATTGGTAATTTACGAGCTAAAAAATATAATGAAAACAATTTGTTGAGATCTGTGCTAAACATCACACGCATTCATCTCATCGGATTGTTTTCTGGTTTCTCTTAGGAGGAGGAGGTACACAGATATATTATGCTTCTTGTTTATCTTTTTTATAACAATAAAAAGAAAACCCTTAAAGATGTGTTAATTTATTTATTATTAATTACAATTTATTACCAATAAGGTTTCATGTACAATAAACGGAAGAAAACGGAATTTTACTTTTTTTTTAAATAAATTAATTTATTATTTTTTTAATTGAGCAGAAGGAAGAATAAGTGTATTTGTTTTGGTACTCTGCCAATGCTTGAACATTTTTCTTTATATAAATCTATCTTAGAATCTTGTGTTGTAAATCAATTGATCATGACGATTCTGAATATCAAGTTTTTTTTTTTAATTTTGAAAAGTGATCATTTATATTTCCTAATCGTAATTTGAAATAAAACGGCAACAACTCTGCTCTGATTTATTTGGAGAACAACGTCTTATTGCATACGTTCTTTCAAGAATTTTGTGTGGAATATACGCAGCATGAATAAGTAATTGTTTAAAAAGTACAACTATTCCGCTCTTACATAACGGGTTCTATAAATAAAAAAAAAGTGGTCATCTCATATTTAAAAGAAAGTTCTAACCCAGCTGTTTTGTAATGAACGTGACATTTAATTGACGGATGCAACCAGTTATATTTAATGATATTAAGAAACAAATCTTATAGAAATGGTTATGCATGAATATTATACAACGAAAATAATCTACGTTTAAAGGTTTTTTTGATATGAAAGTTGCTAAATCGAATCCGACCAGAACTAATACAAAATCCTATTAGAAAAAGCCACATTCAGATGTCGATTATCATATTTTACCGACTTGAAATATTATTGTTGATGCAATGATTTGTAGCAGTCAAACAAATTAAAAACATTCCGTTCAGCCTACACGAATTCTCGTAAAATTCAAGACATTGATGCTCCGCTAACATTTCTTTTGAACTTCAAAACTTGACATCAGCAACAACGTTCAACTAATTTCATTTCAGAGCTAATAAAATCATAAGTCAGTTTTTTTATGTTGTGAACACGTGTTTACTGCTTCATAAATAAATGCAATGATTCTCGAAAGATAAAGTATTTGCTCTGCGAACTTCAATAATATCTTTCTTAGGTGCTGAACATTTTAGATTTGAATTTCTTAATCACGATAGTTGGTGACTAAAAGTAACTTTTCTCAAGTCAATTTTTCGGAAATTGAACGTTTTAAATTTGAGGCTGTAATGAGCGGACGTAAATATTACAGTTACTAGAAAATTGAAGTAATTCGCCGACAAGTGAACCAGGAATGTTAAAAACTCGTAGCTTGATTGCTTCCCAGACGTAGATGCTTTTCCAAACAGACTTCAGAAGGTAGTAGAAAACTTCTCTTTATTATGTTCTGTTTTTAGATTATCTTATGAGTGGGACATCAATTCTTTCACAAGATACGACAGTACATACTTGCCATTAACAGTGGAAGAAAATGTAATGACCTAAAAAACGACAAAGCCTCATTTTCTGTGCTACTGTTGTCAGAATACATCCATATTCCACTGTATATTGATTTTATATTTTAAGTTTATTTTCTAACTTTTAATATAATTTAATTAGTGAAACATATTTATGCACGTTACAAAGTTCATTTTACCATGTCCAAATTTCATTTAGCATATATTTTTATGTAGATTTAACTGCTCGAATTTGTGTTAAGGGGTCAGAGTTAAAAAAAAGGTGGAGAACTCATAAATAGACGAATTTTAAACCTGAGTCAGATTTAATTTTTTCGTTACTTAGTCAACCAAATATACATATTTAAATTCGATATAGGATCTTATTAAAGAAGTTTTAATATATTTTTTTGTATTTTCTACATTATATATTGTAATCTTATATTATATATTAATTTATACATGTAAAAATAATTTTGTACATGTCATACAATCAGCTGTTATTGTTTACATGTGATCTTTAAACATAATACTTTAATTACAACCTGGGATGTACAAAACAATTGCATTCATTCAAGGTAGTATTTTTCTAGTTACTATATGCAAGTACATTAAATATTTTTTGTTATTACTAATGCTTTACAGCAAGGAATATATTCAAGTCCAGTATAACCTCAAACATGTCGAATCCTATAGAGCAATCAATTAGAAATAAATTGAGCAAACAATTAACAATCGAACATTTGGAAGTTATAAATGAGTCCTACATGCACAACGTTCCGAAAGGCGCAGAAACGCATTTCAAAGTTGTTGTAGTTTCAAATCAATTCAATGAAGTACCATTGATTAAAGTAAGTTCTAATATAATCTTTTAATTATACTAGACTAATTATACATATTAATATATTTTAAGAGACACAGATTAGTGAACGAAATTTTGAAGGAAGAACTGCAAAATGGCGTTCACGCCCTTTCAATTTCTGCAAAGACACCGACCCAATGGGAATCCAGTGACAAAGTTGTCAAACCTAGTCCCAACTGTCGCGGAGGTTTTGGTAAATGAACACACATGTACATCGCTTTGTAATGCCGAGATGAAATAAAAGTATTTATAATGAGAATCTTAATTAAAATTGTCGTTTGAACGACGAACGATATGAACTTAGGGGTGTGAAAACAAGAACCAAAAAAGGTCTACTACTGTCACATGACGAAGTTGTCCAAGCGCAGTTTACCCTCGTTCTCGGTCAAGTAGATGATATCAGCCATGGTCTGCTCGCAAATTGCCTCCTCCGCTTTTTGATTCATCTGCAAATTTGTAATACTTGAAGAATACTGTTAAAACTTTCCGGTATTACTTACGGCTTTATACACGATATCTGTGTTTGGAGCGAACTTGAAATTCGGCCCAAAGTTAACGGAAACCGTCGCGCTTTTGTGCAAGGATAAAGTAGGATAATAGGATCCGCCGTAGATCTCCTCGAATGCCACGCCTTGAAGCTCCCCGTTTTTGAAGCACATCATTTTACTACCCGGCACAGTTGAGAGTTTCTTCAAGCATTCCGAAACGTTATCTTTCTCTTCGTAATACAGATGCGATTTAAATTTTACCAACGGCTAAAACGGAATCAGGTTTCAGTCAAGTTAACATATTTGATTAATTATTATAATTACCCTATCTTTGTACGTTTGAGGTATCCTCTTTGTGGTGACCACCTCTGGCAATATAAGAAGAAAACCGACTGTATCGCCTTCACCATATCCGGTACTAAATTTTTTGCCCGCAGACTCGTGAAATTTTGTGCCCTTTTTCGATCTCCACGAATATCCAAACTTGTCGTAACCCAATGGAGCCTGAAGGTTAGCGTAATCTTGGCCCCAACCTAACCTGGCCGCTGAACCTTCCGGCATATTGTCGATGGTCGCCTCCCAGTACCAAGTCCCTTTCGAAATGCCTACAATAATATAAAGTAAATTATGTATGGAATTTTCGAAAACAGGAAAATGAAAATCTTACAATGCGTAGCTCTAACTGTGCAATAGCCCTTTTCACCAGTTACAGAAAGACGATCTTCGGAGATTTTCAATTGTGGTGCACTGTCGTGAAGAGCTAACAGAACCGTGCTGGGCACCAACGTTCTGTATAACCATCCTGGAATGGGTTTCCCCGCCCAATCAGAACTCTCATCAAATTCCTGATTGAAAAAAAAGAATATTAAAAAAGTCAATATAACTTATTTTAATTTCCTAAATACAATTCTTTCTCTTATAAAAGCTCGTGTTAATTGCACATTCTATATAATTATCGGACAGTTCATTTACTAATATTTAATCATAAATACTACTAATCCCATTAATATTTCTAGATATTATCTTTGATACTTCATTTTAATTGAAATATTTTTTTAAATAATATTATGAATCCGATATTCATTGCGATTATATTATTGAAATAGAATTATCCAATTTACAATTTGATCAAGCCTTGTATGCAGGCGCACCGCACCGTACATACGTATATTCGAATTAAATTATTTGTTGTTATGAAAATTACGTAATCACTATGCGATAACCTGACCGGTTTTGTAGTCCGATAACTTTAAAATGTTATAAATTACCATAGATACATAAAACAAAAACTATTTTTAACACTAAGGCCACTATAAAAATACAAAGTGTATGTTGAAAACGAAATAGATTAGTCATTTTGTAACGATTTCGAATAAACCAAATACTCCAAATTAAAAATAAAAACTATATATAAATGTGTACTTTATATATATAAATTAAATAAAAGACTTGCATATATACACAGAATTAGTGTGGACATTCAATAATAAAGCAGTAGTAAATAAGAGAAGATGAAGATTAATAAAATATTGCATTGTGTAAAAAGCAATTACACATTTTACGGGAAAATACGATAACCGAATGTATTTGAAAGAATTTTCAAAATCTCATGTGTTTTTCTAGTTTGTTCCGTTTGTTGTTTAATATTATTTTATTTGCGGAAAAGCAAAATACTTCACAAAAAATAAAATATGTGCTTTATATGGAGAAGATGCAGTAAGCTAACGTGTTTAGAAATGAATTGTCAGTTAATTAAAAATACAACTACAAGAGAGTTGGTCGAGATAATCAACGTATCTCAAAAGACCGAAGTAAAAAATTTGCATAGGTTTGGCTAAGTTTCTTGGTACGAAATTTAGGTGCTTAATCGATTAAACTCAATTAAAACGTTCTATTTTGAAAAGGATGGTCACCATTAGATTTTAACTCAGATATCTGCATAATTCACTGAATGTTAAATATAGTTCTTTGAGTGCTTGAAAAACGAAACTTAACTCTTTGAAGGGACAGAAATTACTAAATTTCTTAATCAGGCAACTTCGTCAACTGAATCAACATCGGATGGGATGGATTATAAACCAAATTAAAGGGTAATTACTCTTTCCTGGACATTTTCTAGAAAATTATAATAATGCCCCACAAGGCATGTTCAAAAGTTGGTACAATGTGTGTCCCCAGAGAGTTAAGGAGTTTTCTGCTCAGAAAAGTGGAATGGAGAAAATTTAACAGCAATAAATACGAAATTACATTTTACTCAATCCATTAAATAAATAAAATAGTTAAGCAAAGAAAAAAATATAAAACTAATCTTAAGTTGGCCATGCAGTTAGGAATGTGATTTGCAACGTATTATGGGAAAATGTCAATAATACTGAAATGACTAAAAATATTTATGTAAATGACAAACGATAGACCGCAAAATAATGATGTTGCCATTTATTGGATTATTTTTATTGTGTGAATTTGCTGTATGATTTATATTTTTACTGAAATTCATAACCTTCTCGAATATTGATTATGTACGTTATTTGCTAAAGAAATAATAAACTGCAGATGGATGACGCTGCTAATAAATAAAGATATCAATAATATGTACGGTATAATTTTCACATTAGTGATGACCCATCGTCCAGGGCGTTGGTCACGTCACCTATATACAAACTGAAGCCAAGTTTGTAAGTCTTTAATGACCAATAATATTTCAAGTATTATTGTATTGTTGAAAGAATGAAATACCTGTCTGAATGGGGCATGAGGGTCGGGCTCTGCGAGAAGATATCTGTATCCATCCTTATTGAAGGGATGGTCCAGCGGATACCCATGGGACGGTAATTTGGGGGTGTTCAGGTCGGCGTTCCTTCCTTTCTTGCCGACACCACCTACGTCTCCAGGAAACTTGCGTTTGGTGTTCCTATTCTTCACGCCGCTGGAAACCGGTACTGTAACATATCACAAGCAAACAGTTTTGTATAGAGAATTATCAATCCTACTGCAGTACGCGTATTTTATAAATACTGGTTTGCATCATTTTAGCACCGCAGACGACGGCATCCAATATAAACAAAAGAAGCGTGCAACAAATAAACAGCAATATCTGAGGCGACCGAAAAGAGTAACAAACGTAAATAAAAGAGCATTGCGTGTCCATTGCATACGTGATTGTTGAAACGTCGCCTACTGCGATGGATGTCTTGCGAGTGTTGAACATTCTTTTTTTTGAGTTTATGGAATGTACCGTGAATGCAGTGCTAGTGAGTACTATAAATATACGAAAATAATAATGAGTAATAATACTTGAGTCTCTCGTCGGGAGCATTTTATTATTTTTATCTGCAGCTCTTACTAATTCTAAACGCTCTCGACTGGTTTTCCAAAATCGCAATCGATTATTATAGATAATGGGATAACTTTTTTTTTCATATTTTCACGTAATTAATATATATAGAGAGAGTTTGTTATCTATGCGACGGTCGTTAATGTGTACATGTGTGTATTTGCCCGATGACGCAGCTTCAGATGTTATTATCGATTCCGCATAGAGTCCTTCACTTGGCTATTTTAAAGTAGGCACTCTTGCACATACAATATACGAGTGGACGCGTTCCAAAAATTCCCATACATTTAGCATGTGCGTATATCCATCTGCACACAGGTAGTAGTATCATAATCAAGGGCAAATCAAAATTTGGAACAGTCAGTATTGATTTAAATTGCTGTTACTAATTGGTCTTAAACAATTTAGAATTAAAAAAAACTCCACACATTCTCAATCTAGCAATTGTATTGATATTACCTAGCTGTTCTGCCATTCTGATTCTTTTCACAACACTTTTCACTAATATTTTAATACTTTTTCAGGCTCTTAAACTGCTTAATTCTAAAAGTCTCAAAGTTTCTTACTAAAAATGTAAATAATACTCAAGCACAAAATTTCCAAATTAAGTAAAAGTGTTATGGGATGCATGAAGAGTTTGCTTCTCCACTGTTATTTACCATGCTGGATGCCCATATCAGTGACTCTTAGTGTACCCCCTTTGATCATGGCCTCATAGTTGGGTTTGATCTGGTTCAGGTCTGTATTTATCAAGCCATAAAACTGGCCATCAGCCGACTCCTCTGTACAAAACAAAATATTTAGATCTTTCAAGAGTGCCCTTTGCACTGTTGACTGCCATGACTGTGTAACCTTTCTTGGGGTCAGTGCTTCCCAGTGGTGCTCCACATATGGAATAATTTCTTTATCTTTGCTAAACTGCACTCGGTTTGTGCCATCTTTAACACTGTTTTGCTGAAGATTCGCGATCGCTGTGACGCACATTTGAGCAATATCTGCAACAAAGTTATTAATAAATATATTGCTCAAAAATAATTACCAGTGCATCTCATTACGGGCTTGGCTTTTCTTAAAGCTCTCCAATCCAGTTGGGGAGCAATTCTTGCATAAGAAAATGTAGTTCGAAAGAAATGGAACTAGCTTCCCCAGTTGGTATCCAATGCATGATTCATGAAACCATTTTGTGCAGTTGGCGCAGAGCAATTCAGCTATATTCAAATTCCTATCTTTTCCACTGAAACAATAACAGAACAAACAACATACATCAATCTCATTGGCTGCAATATCAATCATATTTACCAATAGCAGGTGCCATTAGATTCACTTGTCTTTTTCCCATTCTTAGTGTCTTTCTTCTTTGTGCTGCTATCATTTTCACTGTCTGTTGGCTTGGTTTCTTCCTGCAGATCATTGTCATTTGTTTTATCCACGGCCAACTCCGATTCGGCCCTGCGAAAATGTGAATTGTTAACTTTTGATTTAGAAATTCGACGAATTTTTACTTTTTGGCGTCTTCTGTGGACATGGTGTAGAAATTGTAAATAACAACAATAAATTTTAGGTTATTTACAACGGTTTTGACACGAAAACGACCTACGTTTGAGACACGAGAAAAACAGACTCACACATTTGATTTGAATGTTATAATTATTTAATTACTATACTTAAAAACTATATTGGAATGAGAATATTTAAATGATGTTTATCCTAATTTGTGCGCAAAGTTGACAGAAATAAGAAAATAGTGTATTTGGTTGCCTAATATTGAAAATTTGAATTAGTTTTTTTTTTACAATTGCTTATATTTTCTCAATATTTATAAATTTCTAAATGTGAGCATCATCTTCTATATAATAATGAATAGTGGAAAAACATTGTTAACATTTTTATTTTTTAAATTTGAATTGAAGTAAAATGAAGGAAACTATACCAGATATTACTTATTTCATAATGACTACTGTTGCTGTTTTCTAGGCAACTTTCTATGGGATATATAATTGCCAGATTAAGGCAGATTATAAATAAAAATAAAATATGACTGTTAACCATTCCTTGTTCAATTTTGTCTTTCGACGATTAAAACAGTTGGTCGCAACTAATATGAATTGAAGCTAGATGTATTTTGAACAGTAGGTGAAAAAAGTCAGGAAAGATGTTTTTTTATGATTTATAAAGTTTTGAATAAAATTTTTGTTACCAAAAAATGTTGGCCTTATAACCAATAACATGATATGCTTATTGATTTTATGCCGTGTTCAGTGCTTCTTCTTGTCAAAAATGTTGTAAATCTATTTATTACTTGCATTGCATAATTAAAACGGAAGTGCCAATTAATAAAAAAATGTGTATTTTTGAAAATAATTAGAAGCAGTTATTGTATTTTTAAGTCTGCT